CTTAGGACTTCTAAAATGCATCCTATCAAATGAGTGTAGCTTTTGCAACTTCTCTAACTTTCTAGATGTTGTCAAAGTTGAATGCGATTCCTCTTTTAATGATTCTTTAAAGATAATGACAAAAAAGGTGTCATTCTAGCAGAGAACTATCAAAAATCTTTAGTAAGAATAATACACTCAAACTTATTCAAAGGACAAATCTATTTTAATTGTTTCCCAAATATGTTACAGGATTAAAAGATAAATATTGTAGAGAAGCCTTAGTGGCCAAGGTTCTTGGAAAAAAAGGGTCACATATATGATAGTCCAATATAAAATTATGTTTAAAATACAAAAAAAAACACATCAAAACTTCAAAATTATAAAAGAAACTCTCAAAGAAATAGGAGCCCTCAAAAACCTCAACCATAATTCCTAAAAGAATAAAACATAGCCAAATACAATTACCACTAGTTTTAGACTTTTCCAAAACTGGCAAAACTTGCCCAATTAGAACAAGGAAAATTAAAAGAAATAATAACCTATGAGATATTAAGTAGGTCCACCCCCTTATAAAATGAGAGACCAAATTACCTACAATAATTCCAAGACAATCTATAGATTAATAGGAGTAGATTTCAATCTTAATTTCAGAACCAATATATCAGGCAAAAACATCTAGAACTAAAAATGAAAATTCTGAAGAAAACAAACTAAATGCAGTCAAAAATAAATAAAGAATTTCAACAATCCACAGATTATTAATCCATAAGAAAGTCATTAATGGTTATAAGAAGATTCTGATTCAAACAAAGAGAGAATATTTCTCATACCATACAGGCAATATTCCCTCCTTATATTCCAATTAATATAAAAAAAGGTAGAAAATATTATGAATTCATCCTGGTAGCTACAAAATCCATCATGAATAATCATCAAGGACAAAAAAGGAGGATTTTATAGTCAAATAAAAATTCATAAGGTTTTTCACCTTATACATCAAAAAAAATTTCAATAAATTACAATGATCTAGTTCATAATTACAATGGTATAATGTTTTATACTACAAAAATTATGAACATTCCTGTTTTTTTTTTTTTGGTTCAATAGGGATTGTCCAAACACTTTTCTCAAAAGGTTTCATATCTTTGGACCAATAAAGAAAATTCCTCTCAGAGAAAAAAAAAACCAATTTTAAAGAAAATGAAAAGCCATTTTATTTCTTTTGTCATATAAGCTAGGGCTTCTCAATGGTAACAAAAAAACCACCTAGTCCTACAGTAAATTATTTGATCAAAAGATTCAAAGTAAAATGGTGGGATAAATACAAGAAGGAATTTGCACGTTCAAAAGCAGTTCTTAAGTTGAATCCACTGTTAAGGCAATCCCACAACAAATCAAAGAGCAAAATGCTGCATCAATGGCATTTCTAGCAGAAAAGAACAAGCTGATGATACAGCTGGCAACCACCAAAAGAAGAATGGGCATCTCTTATACAAGAGATGAGGGTTATCAATTGGTGGCTGACAACAAAAAATAGCAAAATCAAGAAAGCAATTCACAAGAATAAAGAAAAAATAAAGAAAATAAAAAGGAAAGCAAGAAAAATAGACATGAGCCATGTACTAGAAGAAAGATAATCAAAGTTACTTAGTTAATCAGAGTTACTCAACCAAAGTTACTCTGAATTTTTCTATATAAACAGAAGATCCCATGTTTTATAAACATCAGGTTTTTCTGACTCTCTCTCTCTCTCTTTTCCTCTCTGTAAATTTCCTCTCTACTAGTAATATACCTCCTTCAACCTTCTACTTAATCTCCTTATCAGCACCTTGTACTTTTTGCTTCTTTCATATAAATAAAGTCATATATACTGTTTCATATATGCTCAATCTATATGTACCATTTCATGTTTCATACCCGCTTCCCGTAATAGTATCAGAGCTTATTGATTTTTGCACTTGCTGATTATTTTGTTTAAATTTAAGGGGGGGGAGAGAATCAAAAAAACTTGAAATTTTCAACTTATATAGAAAAATTCAAAGTATCTCTAATTGTATAACTCTGATTACTTTTGTCACTCTAAATCTCTTATATCTTTTTTTGACGCATGACTCATGTCTATTTTTTTCTTGCTTCTCCTTTCTTTGTTTTCTTCTCCTTTTTCTTTATCTTTTCCTTCATTCCTGTGACTTGCTTTCTTCATTTTACTATTTTTACCAATCAGCCACCAATTGTGATAATCCTCAAAATCAACACTAAATATGTTTTCCTACCTATGACACTTGAGAAACTACTACGAGAGATGCCCATTCTTCTTTGGTTTTGATGCTGCCAACTGTGTCATCAACTTTCTTTTTTGCTAGAATAGTTGGTGGTGTAGCGACTTGCTCTTTGATTTGCTGTGAGATTGCTTTATTGCTTTTGAACTCAAATTCCTGGTTGTATTTTTTGTAGGATAAGGTGGTTTTTCTATTATTACTAAGAAGCACTAGCTCATTATCATTTTGGAAATAAAATGGCTTTTTATTTTTTTTTTTAACATTCATACCGTTCTCCCACCTTCGGAGGTAGTGTTTTCTATACTTTTTTGACAAGGATGCAACAAAATCAAAAGAAAATGAAGAAAAGAAGAAAGAACCACCGAAAGCAACTCAATCTCGATTAAGAAAAGTCATCAGTGTTGAACAAAAGACATCTCAACCCAAGTCATGCTGGACTCTATAAAATAAGACTTTTTGGTTTTACAGACATTGAATTTTCGAACCCCTTCTCTCTCTCCTTGTAAACCTCTTTCCACTTGTAATATGTCCCTTTCTTTTGAGCCTACTTTCCTTCTCTCCCAACCTAAACACTTGGTACTTTTCTTTTTTATTTTTGTATATAAATAAAAGTTTTATATTCATATTTATACTCCTTTTTAATCCTCACATGTTTAAAATCGGATTAAGATGATTTAAATATTCATGTGATTTAAACATATAAATGTTCAAAACGTATAACTTTTATTTATAATATTACATTATATTTTATTTATTTATTATTTGTGTATAACATCCAAATTCTTTTTAGAATAAAAAAGGACATATAGTAAAGTTATCTAATGAAGAAAACTTTAATGAAAAACAAATACCAATAAAAGCTAGACCTATATACAAAAATCAAACAATTACTTGAAAAGAAATTAATAAGATCAAGCAAATCTCCATAGAGTTGTTTGTCTTTTTATGTCCAAAATAGCATAGGAAAGAGGTGCTTTAAGATTAGTTATAAATTATAAGCCATTATTTTAAGATAGATTAGACATCCTACTCCTAATAAAAAAGACTTAATAGGAAGACTACCTAATGTGTCAATATTCTCAAAATTTGACATGAAATATGTATACTACTAGATACAAATAGCAAAAAGAGATAGATATAAAAAAGCTTTTACACTTCTTTTTGGACATTATAAATGGAATGTAATGCCTTTTAAATTAACAAAAATGCACCCTCAAAATTCCAACAAATAATGAATGACGTCTAATCCACACAATAAATTCACCATAGTTAACATTGATAATATTTAGTGTTTTCCAATTCAATTGAATTTAAACATCTAGATCAGTTTTATCAAATAATAAAAGCCAATGGTTTAGTGGCCTAAGCTAGAAAAATGAAATTGTTTCAAACTAAAATAAAATTTTTAGGGATGGTAATATATCAGGAAAGATAATGCCAACTAGTAGAGTCATAGAATTTGCAGAAAATTTTCCAAATAAAATTACAGCCAAAAATCAATTACACAAAATTTTAGGATGTCTAAATTATGTAGTAGACTTCCTTCTAAGGACAAGGATGAAGATAACTTTACTTTTTTAAAAGACTATAGAAAAAACCCCCCAAAATGAACAAACAAATGGTAAAAATAGTAAAAGAGGTAAAACAACAAGTCAGAAATAGGATAAGAAGGAATCTTAAAACAGTTAGAAGGAGATAAAGAGAAAATAGCCAAGTTTTACTTAGTAGCATAAAGGCTCAACAACAATATTTCAATATTAAAAAAAAAATTATCTATCATTTTCTGTGTTTCAAAATTTCAAAACGATTTGATAAATCAAAAATTTTTCATAAAAGTAGAAGCAGCAAAAGATATTTTGCAAAAATATGTTAAAAACCTAGTTTCAAAACATATTTTTTGCCAGATGGCAAGCAACTTTATCTTGTTTTGATTTCAAAATATAGTTTTATTTTTTTGCCAAATTTAAAATATAGTTTATAAAAGGAAAAATAATTCTCTTCAAGATTTTCTAACATGAGCAAATCAACAACAGATATAGCCAAAGGTATGTCTAGGGTTTTGAAGTTAGATAAAATCAAAGATAATGGTTGAGTGAGTCTGATAGAGTTTCTTAAACTAGAACTCCTTGTTCTATCCGTGCTTCACACTTCTATGCTATTTTCCACCATTTATTTTGTTTCACACTCTCTTGTTGCATTACCATCCTTGTGAGGCCCAAGGATGCTAAGATTGAACATCAATAACAAAGCATGTTGTTTTATATAGAAGAGACCCATCAAAAGGAAGTTCATAGCACTTTAATCTCTCTATATTTGCTATGGACAGGACAGGTATCCAGATGTTAGGACAAAAAGTGAACTCAACAACTTTGTTTGACACCTAAAATTCGAAAGTTCTGATCAAATATCAAGCTCCAAAATACATTTTATCACCCAGGATTATCAAAAGCTTAATCAGCAAGTTTTGCAAACAGAGACAAACATTGCCAATTTCAAATTGTGCACAACATTGTCCATCGAGTTCTCTATATACAACTCTAGGTATGAAATCCCTAAAAAGTACTACTCCTTACCAGTCAAGTGTCCAATGACAAAAACAAATTTGAAACAGAAACCTTAACTTGTATGTACAGAATGTTGCAAAAGAAAAGGCACAAACCACCGAGGTATTCATACATAGGCCAAAATGTTTATGCACAAGCGCAGCTAGGGAAGAATCAAGGGGAAAGAGAAACTCACATCGTTGAGGACCACGCCCACCCTTGGTGGCAAGGCAAGGGAGTCAAAACTGGAACCAGAAAGGCTGCTGTTACATTTGCATCAGTTTCCTGATGAAATCATCAAGCCTTTGACTGTTTAAGAGAAAAATTTTACTTCTATATAGTGAATACCATATGATTCCTAGAAGGAAAAGAAAGGACTATATGATTGCAATAGATCATGTATAAAATAACTCATGCAAATAGTAAGCCCACCGAGAATAATACACAATCCTAGTATCATAACCAAAAGTCATACTTCTATGGCTAATAAGCAAATTGCCATGTAAAACCTGTTTAGCATGCATAATTTATCCTCATATTTTCAACAGTGCATGATCTATTCAGGACATCAAAATTAGATTAATTAGTGAACACAAATCTATATTGCTGAGTACACACATATGTCCCAACAGTGCAAGTGAAGTAATAATAAAGCAAAGTGGATGACGACTCAGAGACAAAGTGCGTGAGTAGAAACAAGAACATTAACTTATTCTTCAATTAGGCAAAAAAAAAAAAAATTGCAATCCAAAGCCATATATAATTTAGTCACATTAGTGTAAGTAGAAACAAGGATAACAATATCTTTCTTTAATAGTGAGACCGATGCAAGGGAAAAATAAAGTACCTTGTCTTCTTGAAGGGGAATTCTTTCACTTTTCTAGCAAACTCAATTTCAGTAGCTGTCTAGGTATATTACGACTGTCCCAGCACAAGTCCTGACAAATAATTACCCATACAAAAGCACTTATCAGTGTTCAAACTTTAAATTTCTTTTGGGGGATAGAAGGAAGGAAAAAGGAACCTGCAAAATCAAAAGTTATTGAAAATAGAAGCAATAATAATCCCAAAAATCACATTAGAACAATTATGGAAGTGTATAACCTAGGAAATTACCTTACAAGTATTCACACCATCATCAACTGCTCTTTCAAGGTCATCCAGTATACCATCAGTACTTCATCATAACACAACAGAGGAAACCGAATCCCCACCTTCTTCATTTTTCACAACAGTTACCTATACATCATTATAATTGGATCACAATAGTTACCTCCAATTTCCTCAACTGAATTTCTGAAGCACGGACACGCCAAAATCAGCGCCGTGTCCGTGTCGGATAATGCGTATCCGACACGGATACTCGTCCTGTACGCTGATGCGGCGTGTCCCTTTTTTTTTTTTTTTGCCAAACGGGAGGACACAGGCGGCTGCCGGCGGGCACGGGTCGACGCGGGTAGGACATGAAACGCAGCTGGTTTCGGCGTTTTTTTTTTCCCCTAGATGCCCTACTTCACGAACGCCGACCGATCCCTTTCATTCCCGAGTCCTTCGCCTGATTTGCGTCACTCTGCTCTGACCCAACGACCCTGCACTTCCGCCGACCGCCGTCCTTTCCTCCTTCTCCGTCAAGCTCGAACGAGGTAATACTTTCCCCTGTCACTCTGTCTCTCCGAGCCACTGTCGCGCTCTGACTCCGCCTTCTCAGTCAATGTTTCGGTGTCTTCCTCAGTCATTGCGTTGCTCCTTGTCTCTCCTACTCAGTCGCGACTCAAGAGGTCTGCTGTTCTTTGTTATTATGTGGACATCCGATCGATGGGAGAGCTTTTAACCAAAAGGAAGAAAATGTTTGGTTTTTCTTTTCAACCGTTACCTTTAGGCCTGTTTGGTATGATAAAAAAATTTTTGATAAAATTAAAATTAAAATTAAAATTAAAATTAAAATAAAATTGAGTTTTAAAAGTGTGTTTGATATGTTAGAAAAAATAGATAAAATCCGTACATTATTTTTATTTGGCATGTAAGATATGGAAATAGAATTATACATAAAAGACAAAAATACCCTTAAAAATTAAAATTAAAATAAATATATATTAAAAGCTTGATTGTGCTTTTAATTTCCTCATGTATTTAGTATATAAATCAAATATTATATATAATGGTAAATATATATAATACAAATATATATTATAAATATACAAATATATATAATACTATATTATATATATATATTATATAATTTATATAAAGACTTTATGTCCATGGTAACACCAGAATAAAGAACACAAAAAAAAGTAGCTAAAAAAGAAAAAAAAGCTAACGAAACAAATTTAGCTGCTGTCAATTTTTTTTTTGGTTGAAGTCAACCACCACATTTTGAAGATCAGAAGCATCTGATGCACACAAGGCTCATGCTCAAGATTTACAGGGCAAAGTTGTGAATTCAATTTTTTATGATGATAAAATTGTCTTGAAAAATAGGATTCTATGAAATTGGTCCAGATTCCATAGCTTTAATTAGGGAATTCAATTCAGGCTTTTTTCATGGAATTAGGATTCATGGGAGTTCTAATTTATATGTACCAGACATCTTTTTGTTAAGATTCCTACCCCAATTTCATTTCCATCCTTAAGATTCAACTCTACCAAACAGGGCCTTAATCTTTTCTTCTTTCGTGATCCTATTAAAAAAAAATTTTGACTTGCTTATATAGTCTTTACAATTGCAATAATGACAAAACTTGAACTTAAATAATTTTTATTTGTTTATTTTAAATTTTTATTAATTAACCTCATATTAAAATATGCAAGAAATAATTTTTAATTTTTTAATATTTATTAATTTAAATTAATCATTATTTTTTGTGACTTGGTATTGCTTAATCATTTAATTATTTATATATATGCATATAAATATTTAATCTTTAATTATTTATATAACAGTAATTGTATTTTAAATTTTTTAAAAATTACTGTATCCACCTATCATGCCGTATTGTATACGATACTTATACCTATAATCAACATACCAGCAAAAACAAGAAGGAATGTTCAAATTTATTTGTTGGCTGCCTTATGACCACATTCAAGAACAACAACCCAAAAAAATAAAAAAATCAACGGCAACAATGTGGTTAAGATTCCATATTTTTTCTGCCTAAAAAAATTACAGGCACAACATTTCAATTGAAGATTTAAAGACATGAGATGTCAGTGTGAGGATTCAAATTGCATTCATATCCCAGATAAAATCAATTGCAGATTTACACCTATATCGTTCTGGTAATTCAATACATATACATGCCTTGAGCTTTTGTTTGGATCTGTGTTTTGGAAGCTCAACATGCATTTACAAACCCGAAGCACAGTTAACCCATTTGAAAAACAAACAAGGCATGGAAAAATTGAAACTATGTTCTTCCTCTAAACCACGTTACTAGAGAAGTAACCAAGGCACTACTACTTTTTTTTTTTTTTACCGGATGGCACTACTTCTACGTTGAAAATGTCTATTGAAAGTATTAATTGCAAAATCAAAAATTTGCAACAACCAACAACGCCCTCATCTCCTTTCCATGTCTGCTTCTCCTCTTTATTCTTGATTGAGGTAACAATCCCAGTTACAAAAGTGTGAATTCAAAAAACAACAACTCCAGTTCCAAAAATCATTACAATCCAGAATTTACATTCAGAAACAACAAACCCAGCAAAGTACTATGATATGATTTAGGGCCCGTTTGGTTTTCTTTCGTTTCACATTCAAAAAGTAAAATTTTATTTTCAAAAAATTGAAAATTATTTGAGTAAAATATCTTATAAAAAAGCACATTCTGAAAGTACATTCAAACAATAGCTAAAAGTATATTTCTAAAATATACTATTCGAAGTTTTTGAAAAGTGAATTTAAAAAATAAAATGTTATTTTATCATTCGGCCCCAAGTTTAATCTCTTATTTTTATTTAAAAAATATTTAATTCATTAAAAATATAATTTTTATTTCAATAATAATAATTAGGTATCAATTTTTTAGCATTATAAATTGAATAATTAATCATGTTAATTTTTAGTATTAATGTATAATAAAAATTGTAAATCTTCATTGCATTTTCTAAAATTATAAATTAAAAAATATAAATAATTAGAGATCAAATTTTTAGCATTATAGATCAAAATTTATATTATTTAAAATCTTTATCACATTTTTTTAAATATTTTAAATATATTACATTTGTATAATAAAAATTATAAATCATCATAAATCAATATCCTTTTTGATAATTGTATATTTAAAAGCATATTTCACTATTATAAATCAAATAACTTTCAGTATATCAAATTGAATTTTAAAAAAATATGTTCAAATATAAATTTCATTACGACAACTGACTTTTATTAAACTGATTTTTACCCAATTGACTTTTACTAAATAAACTTTTGACAAACTGAAAATCAAACGCACACTTAATGTAACCTATTTAGCCCATCATAGCATTTTTATAGGCCTTACAATTTAAAAAGAAAAAAGGAAAAACCATAAATATAACAGAAGTCTTTTTGGTAGGTTTAGTTTTCCATAGCACACTCGTAAGTTCCGCTTATACTTTTTAAAACTTGTTTACACATAAATGCTCAATGACAAAACCAAATTTGAAACCGAAACCTTAACAACTATGTGCAGAAAGTTGCAAAAGAAAAGGCACAAACCACCAAGGCATTCATACATAGGCTAAAATATTTATGCACAAGCACAGCTAGGGAAGAATCAAGGGGAAAGAGATACTTACGTTGCCGATGACCGAGCCCACCCTTGATGGCAAAGCAAGGGAGTCAAAATCAGACACAGAAAGGCCGACGTTAAATTTGCATCGGTTTCCTGACAGAATCCTCAGGCTTTTGGTGGTTTAAGGGTAAAACTTTATGTATTCTGCGTACCGCATGATCCCAGGAAAGAAAAGAACGGACCAAGTGATTGAAATGGATCACGTATGAAATAACACATGCAGATAGTAAACCCACCGAAAACAATATACAATCCCAGTGTCACAGCCAACAGTCATGCTCATATGGCTATAAAAGGCATGCGAGGTGAAATCCAGCAAAGTGGATGATTCGATCCGTAGATCAAGTGTGCAAGTAAAACCATCAGCAGAAGAGAATTTAGGAGGGAAGTCAATGTTAGGGATAATCCAGAACAAGAATCATTCAAAATAATCAAAAAATCATAAGCCTCGTAGTATAAACCAGTGAACTGACGAAGTCCTGAGACGGTCTATAAAGCTAGGCTTTCCAGGGTTAGGGGCCTCTAATATGTCCTTCTCTAATACCCCTTATAATGTCCCAAATTTTCAATTTTATTTTTTATTTTTCTATGGATCATTGACTTTTACATAAAATAAAAAATATTTGGATATCTTGATATCCCAAAATGATGAAGATTTATATTTTTTATATTTTTTTAAAAATAAAAGAATGTATTTGTGATATTTTTCTTTAAAAAATCATAAAAAAATATAAATCTTTATCATTTTGAGACATCAAAATATCTAAATGTTTCTTATTTTACGTAGAAGCCAATGATTCATATAAAAATAAAAAATGAAATTAAAAACTTAAGACATTATAAGGGGCAGCACATTAGAGGCACATAGCCGGGAGGTGATAGAAAGAAAGCTACTGTGTATAGAGAAGACATTAATTGCGAACATCGCCGACGTCGTCGCCGAGGGAAAGGAAAACGAAGATAATTTCTCAGTCAGGCTGTAGACTTCTCGTGATCTGACACAATTTTGGTGATCAGATTTTTATGAACTTAGGGAGACGAGGGGCATGGGGAAATGCAGAAGCATCCGCATTGGCTCCGCCATCTTCGTCCATCCCGTCACTGGCCTCCAGTCCAAGTCCAACACCTCTCCATTGGCAGCGGCTCCTTGAATCACTCTTCTATCATTCTCTCCGAATCTCCAAACTTCGATTTTAAGAAGCTCGAGTGGAACCTTTAAGCTAATGAAATGGGAGAAGTAACAACGTTCTTCAATTAATCAGAATTTGTTGGACGACCGGAATGAAACCAGAGAAACAACAATACTTACTAAGGCTTTCGATTGTGGCTCCTTTCGTTTTTCCATGGCCAAGGAATGAGAGAATTCCCTGCTACGCTTCTGTTTTGAATTGATGCTTGTGCGGGATCCAGGAGGCAAGTGAAGAATAGCTTGCTATCCTCATGATTAGATAAATAAAAAGCCCTCAATTTATTAAATAAAAAAATTAAAAAAGTGGGGGCGCCAAAGGAAACTTTTGCCCGTTCAATGGTAAAATTTGAATGATTTTTATCTTTAATTTAAAGTCTTAACCATTAAGATTAAGAATCTTTTCTAAACCAAAAAAAAAATTTTGAATAAACTTTTATCTTTAAATTTTGAACCCAAGATTTACCCAAAAAAAAGGAGGAAATGATAATAAAATCTCATCAGATATGTAAATGACAATTAAGCCTCTCAAAACATCATAATTCATTTAAAATCTTTTGATATCTTTCTATCATTAATGATTTTAAATTAAATCACTAAATTAACTCTTATTTAAAATAAAAAATAATGAGTCTACATAGAAAGTTGTAATTTTTTATTTAATTTTTATAATTTATAAAATAAAATTTATTATTGTTTAAATAAAAATTTTGATTAGTTATTTTCAGAATTTGAACTTGTAAAAAAAATTATGTTAGAAATTGTAATTTTCTATTCAATTCTTACAATTCATTGAATCAAAATTGTCATTGCTTAAACAAAAGTTATA